TACTCACACAAGCTAGACAAACACTCTGCCACTGAGCAGCCTCATCCCCTAAGAGCATTCTTATTAGTTAGCTTGGACCTCCATTAAAAATACAATAGAGGGAGCTGAGGTTATGGCTCAGCGGTAAAGCACATTCGAGGTGCTGGGTTCTATCCTCAGCTCCACATAACAGTAAATAAATAAAATGAAGGTATTGTGTTCAACTACAACTAAAAAAAATATTAGAAACAATTTAATAGAGGGCTGGGGATGTTGCTTTGTGGTAGACAACACTTGCTTGGCATATGTGAGGCCCTGGGTTTAATCCTTTGCCTGCAAAAAAAAAAAAAAAAAAAAAAAAAAGGTAGGTAGGTAGATAGATAGCTCTGGGGACTTAAACAACAGAAATTTATTTCTTCAGAGTTCTAGAGATAAAAGTGCCAGCTCAAGGTCCAGCCAGGTCAGTTTCTGGTGAGATCTCTCTTCTGGCTATCTTCTCACTGTGTCCTCACATGAACTTTCTTTGGTGCAGTAAGTGAACATGAGGGAGAGAACACGGGCTCTTTATTGTTTCTTCTCATAAGGACACTAACTCTATCAGATCAGGGTCCTAGCCTGTGACTTATTTAACCTTAATTTCTTCCTTAGAGTCCTCATCTTTAAATACAGCCACACTTAATTTTAGAGCTTCAGTCTATAACAGCTATACTTGTACTTATACTTCTCAAACAAGCCAAAATTAAAGGCTTGTTTGAGAAGTATAAGTTAGGGTTTGTTTTGGTTTTGGTTTTGGTTTTTGGCTGCTTTAACAACTAAATAAGAAATGTCTTGAATATCTTAAAGTTTGGTCCTCTTTCTCTTGTTGCTCTGCCATGCCCTATAGGGTATTGTTTGTGTTTGTATTGTGATTATGTTTGCTGGCTTACTACCACCCCTACTCCATGGGAAGAGAGGAACAGAAAACAATCAGTTTCCTTTTTAAGGAATTCACCTACATCTGTACACATTATTTCCATTCAAATCCCAAGAGACCAGGTGTTTTCACCAAACCTAGCAGCAAGGGAGGCTAGGAAAATGTAGCTGGGTGGCCGTTTGCCCAGGTCAAACCCTGGAACTTTATTAACTTAAAAGGAATAAAAGGGAAATGGACCACTAGCAGTTTCCACCATAGAGAGTATATACACTTGAGTCTTTTGTGTTGTATTATTACTTTATTATATAAACTAATAAATATACATTCAGGTTTATAGGAACCAACAAATACCTGTGTTTAACCCTAACTTATCAATCTCTTTGGGAACTTGATTTTAATAAGTAGAAAACATATGGCTCAAGAAGTATATTTTTTAAATTTAAGGGCATTTAAATCCATTTAAAGAATGGTAATTAGAGTTGTGCTGGGGGGCTTATCCCTCCAACATCTACTGTGGGGAGCTTGAGGTTATGGAGAAATCCCTCCAGGGACTATTTCAGAGAACAGCGTCTGCTTCAGTGCACAGCAAAAATAACTTTTATAGCAGGTATGTGCCAATTTATATATAACAGTCATGATAGGCCAGGGGTAATACATACATATCATCTTATGGAAGCCAAAACACCCAAGAGGTCAGAAACTACAACATAGTCCAACCCCACACCAGCAGGGGAGTAACTTATCAAATGAGCAAGGAAATTGTGCTTGCCAGTGTTCTGACAGCACTTTGTCCCAAAACATAGTGTTCTGTTAGGACTTCCCTGCTGCACAATGATCAAGATAAGCATTCCTCCATGAGGGTCCATGGTTAGGCCTGCAGCAGAGTTGTATGTTGATATTCTAAATGATTTTTTTCATGTTAAGGGCCTTCTGCTTTAGTGATAACCGTAAATTAAATACTGACTTTTATTTTCTATCAGAAAATGTCAATTTAAAACTTAGAAAAGTCTTTTTATTGTGATAAAGGGACATCACTAACAAAAAGGTGATTATAGTCACATGTGATGGCCTATATTTGTGATCCTAGCAACTCAGGAAGCTAACTCAGAATGATTGCAAGTTAAAGGCCAGCCCTGCCAACTTATAAGACCCTTTCTATAAAAAATAAAAAAGGGTTGTGGGTGTAGCTCAATGGTAGAGTTCCCCTGGGTTTAATCCTCAGTACAGGAAGGAAAAAAAGAAGTTGATTATAGCAATGTAAAGGGAATTCTGGTGATTAGATTTTCCTAAAGGTTCTCTTTAGAATGTCTCTGTTTCTCTTCTGCTGTTAAACTTACCATACACTGTTTAAAAAAAAAAAAACTGTATTTGCTATATCTAATATTTACTGAATATAAATGTCTATGTTAAATATGTAATATAGTTTAACACTCAAACCAACTCACTCTTTTATTAGCATGCCTCATCTTCAGTTAAATTCATCTAAACCATAAGAAAGAAATGTAGATAAATTTTAATTGTATTGAATCACTAACAGAATCTGTCACCTTTTCAAACTTCTAAGATTACATTTTTAATCAAATTTAAAAATCACACAAGAAGCAACTTGAAGGACGCAAGCTTGAAATAAATGCTAAAACTATATTGTGATAAGCTTTAATCTATTATGGTAATTAAATTTCTTAACAAAAAGGTCCAGTCAGGTTGAATGTTTTATGCGGTATAGCTGTTAAAATACAATATTGATTTTTGGCTTCTCATAGGAAGAATATGAAGAACTACTTCGTTATGCTATAGTGACTCCAAATATGGAATCCAGTACTTCACAGTCACAGCCATCTCATCCGAAGGCAGAAGTGGTGCCAGAAGTTAGAAGTCCTACTCCCATTGATAATATTCTTCATAATCAAGGTTATGTATATTTTTAAAAATATCTCTTAATTTAAGATATTTTCAAGTTTAATAATGATACTGTATTATGATTCTGAAAATGTCTCTTCAGATCAGCAATTCTTCTCATTAATGTGATGTAGGGGATCTTTTTACATTTTACCATGTTATTCCTGGCTGGATTTTTATTTTAACTCTTTTTTTTTTAAGACTAAAGTTTTTTAATTTTTAGTTGTAGATGGACACAATATCTTTTTATTTGTTTGTTTATTTAATGTGGTGCTGAGAATTGAACCCAGTGCCTCACATGTGCTAGGCAAGTACTCTACCACTGAGCCACAACTACAGCCCAAGTTTTTATGTATACCACTTTACTTTAAAAAAGTTTTGGTCCTTGTGCATGCAAAGCAAGCATTCTACCAACTGAGCTATATCCCCAGCCCAACTTCATTTAACTCTTTCTTTTATAAAAAGTAATACAGTTAAAACAATGCTATAGCAATTGTATCTCTCTTAATGTTGCATCTGAGTTCTTATTCCACAGTTTTATGGCTGTATTAAAACTAAATGCCCTAGCCAGGCTTGGTGGCACACGCCTATAATCCCAGTGGCTTGGGAGGCTGAGACAAGAGGATCGAAGTTCAGAGCCAGACTCAGCAATGGTGAGATACTAAGCAATTCAGTGAGACCCTGTTTCTAAATATAATATAAAATAAGGCTGGGGATGTGGCTCAGTAATTGAGTGCCCCTGAGTTCAATTCTCAGTACCAAAAAAACCAAACCCAAAAAAACAAAAACTAAATGCCCTAGCCCTACATTAAAGGTTGTCCCTAGGTAGCCCTAGAATCTCTCAAGTTACTTTACGAAACACATATCAGTACTGTTTCAGCAGTATTTGGGCATGGAGGATTGTTCGTGGGAGAACATTAGTAAAAGGTGAACCCATAAATGAGACTGTGTCAACAACAGAATTAATAGCTGATAAAAATGAGTGAAAGGAGGGCTGGGGTTGTGACTCGGTGGTAGAGCACTTGCCTAGCATGTGTGAGGCACTGGGTTTGATTCTTAGCACTGCATATCAATAAATAAAGTAAAGGTCCGACGACAATTAAAAGAAAACAAAATATTTTTTTAATTGAATGAAAGATAGAGAAAGGAGGACCTATCCATTCTTTATTCAGTAAAGTACAAATCCCAAACAGCTAACTATAAATAAGTGTTCTTTCAAGGGCACAGAATGCCTTCCTCAGACAGTCCTCATAATGGACAGATAGCATTTTGTAGGTTTATACTTATGTAGGCATAAGGATCCCTGTTCTTGAAGGCACATGACATAACAACTCAAGAGTCACACAGCTCCTGGGTTTTCAGTAAGTCACAGCTCTAGTTTCTGTTCCTTACCCTCTGTACACAATTTTTTTTTTGTACTGGGGATTGAACGCAAGGGCACTCAACCACTGAGTCACATCTCTATCCCTATTTTGTATTTTATTTAGGGACAGGATTTCACTGAGTTGCTTAGCACCTCGCCATTGCTGAGGCTGGCTTTGAACTAGTAATCTTTCTGTCTCAGCCTCCCAAGCTGTTGGGATTATAGGCATGTGCCACTGTGGCCGTCTTGTTCACAACAATTTCTCATTGCCCCTCAGTCTTCAGTCTGTGTTGGAATGACAAATAGGACTACAGGCCTAGAACCTTAAAAAAATTTTTTTTAATTCTGACAAAATTTTCTACTTACATTTCATTACCTTCAAAAGATAGGAACCTTGGATTTTTTTCATTCTGCATCAGTCTGCCACATTGTCTAGATCATGTTGGTTTTTGGGTTGTTTTTTTTTTTTAGATCATGTTTTGATTACACTAAGTACTTCAACATGCAGTTCCTACTGAGCAAACCCAAAACACTACATACTCTCTTATACATTTAAATAGGAAAATTGATACTGTAGCTCTATATGCCTCTACCCTTATGGTGATTACCAAAAGGTTGTCTCCTCTCATGTTGCCAGCAATACTCCTGGTGTTACTAGTACTTTCCTTGCCCTAGTTTGCCAATATTTCAAGGTAATCATCTGGCATTTAAGATCATTGTTCTTTTCTTCCATGTAAGATAGTACTTATTTGTTTACGTTCTGTCTTTTCCAAAAAGAATTTAAGATTAAAATATACAATATATAGTAAGTATAAATATCCTGATTCAGATGCAGGCTTTGTTAGAATGGACTTTGTAAACTTATCATCACGTGTTCTCTGTTCTTGGTATTGCAGTCATCTGGTGTAAGTAGGATGTGTTCAAGTTGGGAAAGTATATATAAGCCTCTAATGACAGTCTTGTGAGGGTTCCCTATTTTGCTTTTGCTATGTATTGACTAAAAGTTCTGAAACTGAAGCAGGGAAATCCTTGTTTGGGGAGAGCTAATGCTTTGGTTTGATTGCAGTTAATGGAAAGCACAGGCACAGAAAATACCCAGTGTCATTAGAAGATAACAAATCCATTTCTAATAGAATGAGTTGAATGCTGTAATAGACTGAATTCTTTCATCTATATTTCATTGATTGAGTTTATCAATGATACAATAAGGCTTTTCTATTTTTTTTTCTTTCTTGTTCTTTTAGTGTTCCTGTATCACCAGCATATATTGTAGTTTCTTTGTTTTAAAATCTTATTTACATACTACTGCCTTCTTTAATTAGGTATATATGATTAAGCATTCAAGAGTGGTTCCATTTAATAAAAATAAAACTTTCTTTTCAGCAGGAAGCAGCTCTGCAGTAAGAGAAACTGCAATGGAAGTTGGAAAAGGATCTGATTTAAATATTTCCAGTCATTCAAAGATAGATGGTATGACCTTTCCTTAGCTTGTTTTTATTAATATGCAAGATTTTGTGGTTTGATAAACATTATCAATATAATAAGGGAAATAATATCAGCATATTACTTGCAGGATTTTTTAAGTGCTAATGTTACCAATTGATTTTAAATGATAATATTTAAAATAACTTAGTAAATTTCAAAATAGTACAATTAAGACTGGTTAATGCATCGTAGTATTCAGTATTCTGTTTCAAAACTGCTAAGTTAGAAAATTAGTAGTTTTAAAGATTTTTTTTTAATCTTTTTTTTTTTTTTTTTTG